CCCGCGAGCTCAGGCAATCCACTCACCTCAGCCTCCCAAAACGTGGGATTACAGGCTGAGTCACCGAGCCCAGCTAACTTCTAAATTCTCATATGGGCTTCCTTAAGGGGATTCATTAGGCTTATAAGGGAATAATGAATATATTCATGTGGCCTAAATTTTTATGGAGAACTTGAGGAACTTAGAGACTTTCTCTACAGATTTCCAGGGTCCTTGATTGAGAGATGTGGGAACGGGTGTCAGTGGCAGCCTGGAAGGCATTGGAGTCAGAGGTACCTTGACTGCACTCCTGCCTCTACTTCATGGCAGCTGGGGGCCCAGGGCAATAGATAAATTTTTCAGTCAATTCTAATTCCCCCAAATGAGGAAATGATGCCATCTTCTTCCTGATTTTTTTAAATGATTATATTTGACAATGAAGATACAATGTGGTATGAAGAGCATGGTAAAGTAACTACTTTAAAGGCAATAAAGTGTTTTCAATATTAGACCACACTAAAGTGCATTAGCATGCAGTAATGTTCATATGTGTAAAGTTCTTAAAACAGTGTCTAGTATATCCTATGTGTAATTGTGTTCACTAAACTTAAAAAATATGATTTGTACTAGTATAAAATTTGGTGAAAAGCAAAACTTATGCAGATTTTGAATAGGGGGCAAGGAAACCAATTGATAGTTTTGTAATTGTAATTATTGAAGAAAGTAAGGATCTTGGAAGGGCATTATCCTTGTGAAATTTTTAAAAGTATATATGAGGAGTAGTTATGCTACAAAAAAGAAAACTCAAGGCTAATAGCATGATATAGAAGCAACTTTCCTTCTACAGTGAGTGTGGATATACTAAAAACAATCAATTATCTATACCCTCCAGCTTTTTATACATTTCTAAGTTTTTATCATGTTATATTTATGATTGATATTAATTAAAATAACTCCTATTCTTTAAAAATTATTTTTCCAAACATCTCTGTATTTATGTAATACTTGACCCATTAGTTTGACCTTTCAATTTCTAAATTATGGCGACTTTGTCTCAACTCTGTCCCTTACTGTGTAACTTGAACCTGGGTTAGGCCGACTTTAAACCCACATTGTTTTCCTGTATCATGATACCACAGTTAACGAACAAATGGTAATGTTTAATATTATAGAGTTTTTGTTATTATCATAGTAGAACTTTCATTCCGTATCGTATTTGGCTTACCTTTCTAATCCAAGAATACTACTAGTGAAAGCTCATTTTGCAACAGATATAGGAGACATCCTCCCCATCATCCATCTACCCATCTATCTCTCTCTCTCTTCCCCCTCTCCTCCCCCCATTCTCCCTCCCTCACTCACACATACATATACACAGAAGAAATAAACAGTATTATGGATGGCAAATGGACCATATGATAGCTAGGCCACAAGATAGGGTCCTAGTGAGGGAATGAGATAGGTGGGATGTGGCTAGCAGTATACAACGGTCCCTTCCTTTTTACATTTCAGCATTATAGAGGAATGTCACAGCAGTGGATTACTGTAATGGGTCCAGGTGTTGGCCCATTTTGTCAATTTGGACATCTGTAATTTCTTGATCTGAGTTTTCTGAGCAAATAGAGAAAAAGATTCCTGCATCTTGGTGGCATTAGGATATATTCTTTAGACATTCTCTTATCTGACTGAATTTAGAGCAAGACAAAAGACAGGAACTGAAGCCTAGGTCATGTTCCAGGGTGGCTTAGGCTATACTTGACCAGAGTTAGTTATTTCCCCCTTACCACATTTAGCAGAGTGACTGTATGCATATGAAAGGGCCGCCTAAATGCTAAAACTATCAAAGTATGCTTTGGGGATAATGAACAATAATATTAGAAGAAATATATATGACGGGGTTATCATGAAGTCTTACCAGATTGAAGCAAATGCATGCTTCATTTTGTTTGTTTTAACAGAATGAAGTTCCCGAGGTGAAGAAAGAAGAGACTTTGCTGGATCTGGACTTTGACCCTTTCAAGCCTGAGGTTGCATCTGCTGGTTCTGCCGGAGTGACCCACTCACCCATGTCTCAGGTATCAGGCACTTTTTGGATGTTTGGGAATGACACATTATAAACCAGAGTAAGCTCACTAAGGTAACAGATGATCCTGTCTGTTTCTAATGACTATTGTGTACTTTTAATTTTAGTTGACAGATATTTCCTAATAGGAAAGAGGGGTAGAAAGAGGACCATACAATATGAATTGTCCCAAGCCTCCCGTACTGTCAACTTTCTCTACCCACAGAGCAGGCATGGCTGTATATTCCTGTTTGCCCAGGAATTACCTCTCTCAGAATAATTGCTAATAGCACCTTACTTTGCACTCAGAAGTGTCCGGGTTGGGAGAATACATTTTATGGCTCCTCTAAATAAAGCTCTTTCTTTTGGCTTTGGGTTTTCTCTTTATACTGTTGTCCTATTTCTCTTCCTCTTACTTTGCAAATCAAGGCGTGTGTGAAATAACCATGAGAGACTGCTCTAATGGAAGTCTTTTTCAGTCATGACAGTTCTGAACTTGATGATGTACTCATCCGCCAGACCTCAGAACCATCCCTCATAGGAACCTGGTTATAGCTTGAAGTAGAGTGGCCTTGCTTCCCTGCACCTATCCTTGCTCACCACCTCCTCATTCTGGACATTTTTGCCATTCCGATAGACACTGTGATAACATTCTCTGTTAGAGGGATACTGGTGGTAGGTGCTATAATGACCTGTGGGTGACTCCTCTGGCATATACTTAGTTTGTAATTATCTATGGTAATGGAAGAAAATTAACTAAAAATCTGGCAAAGTGGAAATTGTTTATATTCGTGCTTTGGATGTGTTTGGGGCCTCACATTTGAATTAAGGCAAATCCAAAGATGCTAGAATAATATCACGATTATGCTAAACATTATTATAAAAGATACCTCAAATTAATTAATGAAAGAGTATCATAAACTCAATGTAGGAATCAAGACCTAACTTGATTTTCCTTCCAGGAAGGGACTTCTGGTGTCTGTGTCTTATCACAGTAAACCACTGGGGACAAACAACTTAATATGAACCTTAATAAATAAGAATTCTTTCTAATCCATTCTTTGTTCTAGAATGTGATTGGGTTTTAAAGGCCTTGTTGCAGAATAGGAGCAATACAAATCTAAGGTGTCAATAAAGTAAGAAATTAAGTAGTCTAAACACTAGCCTTAAAAATGCTTTGCCAAAAAAAAAAAGGGGGGGGTCTCTAAGGTGAATGTTTCAGAAAGCTCTTTCTATTAACTCTCTTCTAGAAGATTCATGATGTGTGTTAGGATATTATATCAAAGTCCTGCAATTTAAAAAAAGCTGTTTAGATTTGTTTAACTTAGAGTTTCCCAGATTTGTTTGACACAGAAATCTGCTTTAATGAAACACTTCTTACCAATTCATTGGAATGTTCTCTAAAACATACACTGAGAAATGCCAAAGTAGTAGTTGTCAACAAGTTTGAGAGTTCTGCCTTGTCGACCAAGAAACGTAGAATGTGAATGTACATATAAGTCGGTATACTTCTTCCTTCTCAGAGCTTTCTCACTGTAGAGATAGCCATCAGAATTGATGGGATTTCCTCTGCCTTACTTTCTATATTTCATTTCTTTTGTGGAAGAAGTAAAGCTTCCACCCGTAGATGCTGTAATGATTAGTTGGTGAAATATGATAGAATTTCTGTCTGCAGGTTTGAATGGATAAATTTCTTTTATATTAATTCATGGTTACATTAATCCATAAACCATGAAACTTTGTTTAGATTTAAGACTAAGAGATTCTTTTAAAAAAAATTATTGGCTAAATTTTCACAAGTCTTAGATCTGAAGGAAGCATGTCACTGTGGTTAGGGCAAGTGGTGTGTATCCTTCTGTTCTTCCCTCGAGGCTGGATGATAAACTCCTCTGGCCTCTGGTGGCTGTGATTGAGTCACCTCACTGCAGAGTCATCCTACAATCCAGCTCTAACCCCATCTCTCCTTTTCTGCTAAGAGGAAAAGTCTTGGGCTGAGTGACAAGAAAGTGCAGTGCTGTCAGATCTGCCTGCCTTCTTTCCCCTTAACTCTAAATGATCTCCTTTACCCATCATCTGACCCCACATTTTTTTTTGAATTGGAGTTTTTTTTGAATTGACAGAGTCATTTTTTTTTACTCTGTCGCCTAGGCTGGAGTGCAGTGGCATACTCACAGTCACCGGAGCCTCAACCTGCTAGGCTCAGGAGATCCTTCTGCCTCAGCTTTCCAACTGACCCCACATTTTTAACTGATGTCTTACTGCGAGCAGAGCACCCGGTCTTGTGAGCTCCGCAGTTTCTGTGCACAGGAACATGTTCTCTCATGATGCTGAGGATTGATAAACATGACATTTCACTTCTTGCTTTCCTTTTAAAGAAAATACTGGTGCTGTCTGCATTATGCAGAAAATGTACTGGTTTTTTTGGTCTGTGACTCTTAAGGGGTTGTGAAGCAAGGAAATAGAAACCATCTGGATAATCAGAAAATGCATATGAGATACAGAAGTCCATGTACAAGAAACTGTCGCTTTCAGTGGAGCTGATCTACTCTCCTGTCTTAGTCATTCTGTGAGAAGGTGCTACTGATGCAGGGTGGGTGGTGCAGAGGGGTCACAGTGGGCACCCGGCCAAGTGGGTGGGTATCAGTCAGAACCACCAGTTCCACTTTCTATAGAACAGAATCCAAATGAGACATCTGCAATCTCATCTGGAAACTGTCATGTTTTAAAGATGGGAGTCCCGGGCTCTCTAGTTTGCTGCTCACATTTGGTGATTCAAAACAAGAGCATAAACATGAATCTGTTCTAGTCACAAAGATATGGGGATAAGAGGAAGTGACTTTAATAGCAATTCTAACTCACAAAGGAAATAAGAGAGGGAGAGCTCCTCATTCTCCCCACCTACAGTGGAAGTCATTTGAACCATCTGGATTTATTCCCCAGGATCATTAAGTTTTGTAATTAAGATACCAGGAGCGAGTGTAATTCCTTCATATGTCTTAAAAGGCACCCTGCTAATTTGTGTGATTACCAATTAATTCAGCTGTGTGTTAGCAACTAATTCAGTATATTGGAGAACTACTTTTTCTGGGGTGCATTTGCCATCAAACTGGTCATAATCTAGCCTCTTGAATGTGATGGGGGTAATAAAATCAGCAATGATTAGGATCTGAATTTCCTCAAAGATATGACAAGTTCCAACATTTGGACACTTTGTTTACTTCATTTTAATGAGGGGTGTGTGGGTGTTAAAGTAACTCTGTTCATCATGTTTCAGATATAGTTTTCCATTCACACAGTGAAAGGCAAGGTTGATTAGGCCTGTGCTATCCAATAACTACCTGTGGCCATCTTGACCTAAGTAAAATTTAAAATTTGGTTGTGACTTCGCAGCAACTTGGATGGACTTAGAGTCTATAATACTGAGCAATCTGTTACAGAAACGATGAACTGAGTACCATATGTTCTCACTCATAAGCAGACCTTGAACAATTATCATAATACTATAAGAAAGGGATTGGCAGTAGTGGGAAACTGCCAGGGGAATGGAGAGCACACCTCATTTACAAGGGTACCTGCATAATGACCATTTGTATACCTGACCCTGAATTGTAACCTACGTTTTTAAAATTTTAAAAATCATAGTGAGAATAAAAAAATAAAATAAAATAAATTTGGTTCTGCAACCCTAGCACTTTCAAGTGTATGATAACCTCATGTAACCCATGGCTACTATACTTGATAAGCAAAGATGCAGATCATTTTCATTCCTAAAGAAAGTTCTACTGAATAGTGTTGTACTAAATGGTTAAAAAAAAGTTTATGATTTGAAGAATTTCCATTACCTCAGGTTTTTTTTGTTTTGGATTTGTATAGTAATTGTATTTTTGTTTATTTGCTTTCAGACATTGCCCTGGGACCTATGGACGGTAAGACTACTAGGAGCTGTATTTTTATGTATTTTGATCCTTAGAAATTAGGGAACTTTGTTATATTTTATTTATTTTGGCTGGAAAGAGGATCCACATATTTAATTACCATGTAGTCTCCTAGAACAGTCATTAGCCCCACAAAGGTCCTGAGTATTACCAGAACCTGGAGCTAATGGTGAAGAAAAGAGGACAGTAGACCAGACTCCTGGGTGACTGGTGGTCAAAGATTTGTCCTTGTGCTCCTTTGTTTCTTTCTGTGGTGGTTGGTGGCCAGAAGGACGGTCTTAGTGGAGGACATGCACATCTGTGGTTGCTTTTAAATAAAATATTTAAAATGGATGAGTAAGTGGAAGGGACAGGCTACTCTTCACATGAAACTAATTTTTAAATCATTATATTCAGAGGAATTTGGTTAATAAGAATTTTATCTTTAGAGACAGATGCCCTGGATTTGAGTCCAGACTCCGTTACTTATAGTCTTGTGACTCTGAGCAATTTCTAAAACTCTCTAAGCTTCATTTTTCGCATCTCTAAAGTGAGGGTAATGACACCTACCTCAGAGAGCTATGTGAGATTAAATAAGATATTTGTAGAGTATTAGTGCAATGTCTGATATGTATTGATAAAGGATAGATATTATTGATGTTGTTTATTTAGCTAATATTATGTACAGGTACTGCAATTTATCATTGGAAAAGAGCCACGAATAGAGGTTTGCGGTGACCTCGTTGGTGCTGTGAACTTTGGATATTGTTCACGCTCCTATAGAGTTCTTATCCCTTGGGATACAGGGTCTTTGTCTTAGAAAAGCGTAGGAAGAGTTTGGGAGAAATTTTATTCTGATTCTGTGTAAGAGCGTATGCTGTTGTATAATTTTTTGACCTCTAGTTCTTGATCTTAGTCTGGTATTTTCAGACTTGCTTATGCATTTGAAACTTTGATTTCAGAGTTTGCTAAAGCAGAAGTTATATACTAGCTATAAAATATTTTTGTTGATGCTAAAAAATGATAGAAGCCTTTATTTTTGTTTCAGTTGTGCCTTTTCTGTAGTAGTCTTAAAAAATATTGGAACAAAGATAGTTTCCATCACAAAACAAGCTGTGAAAGAAATTTAATCCTAAACCAGTGAAAGCCACAGCTTTTAGCAGAATCCTGACTCTGGGGGTTTTAATATGCTAGTGAACTTTTTCCTCTTGACTTATTGTTGTTGTTTTGTTGTTTTTTTTCCCCCCACATATACAGACAAGCACTGATTTGGTACAGCCGGTAGGTAAATATTCAGAATATTCTGTTTTGTTTTTTGTATTTAATATATGTTATATACATGATGTGTCATTTAGAATGAATCTTGTTTTCTCATGGCATTGTTAGTCATAGATTTAACCTTAAGCCAAGTAATTTAAGCACTGTCTAATATTGTTTAACTGGTGCTATCCTCCTGAAGAGCGTTGTGTTTCTCATCAAATCTTACCATAATCTATTTCATCTTGTTTTTTTTTCTTTGCTCTTCTGCATACTTTAAAGACTGACTCTTCAAAAAGTCTTTCCCTGTGTAACCTGATCATGGAGGAAACTCCAGACAGTGGGTTGGCCGAAGAAAATCAAAGATCTCAGATTGATATAGGTGCATTTACTTGGGGCCCTGATGCTAGTACAGACAGTGTCAGCCAGGAAATTGCCTCAGGTGGGTCTGGAGAAGACTCTGTATGTCTCTCTGAAGCAGAGCAAGACATGAGATTGTCCACCGGAATGCTTCCTTCTGCCGACTGGCCTGCTATAGCTGAACAGGGTGAGCGTGTCCTGGGGCCAGTTCCTCCAGGTGGAAATGAACAACTGTCCCCAAAGCCCGCACCAGAGGCTGGAGTTGCCATTGTTGCTTGTGTGGAAATGGAGCAGCTCAATGACTTACTTGACCCAGAGATTCCAGCCATGGAAACAGCTGGCCTATTCAAAGAAAGTCATGAAGATGTTAAAAAGTCAGATGAAGAGGAAGAGAACCAGAAGATAGAAGATTCTATGTGGGCAGGTGTGGAGACATGTCAAAAGGTAGACACTGGAGCTATTGATATCAAGGCACTAGAAGTTACAGAGGAATCTGAAGAGAAATCATGTGAAAGTATAGGAAACAGGGTGGTAGATTTTATTAACACAATAGGAGAGCAAGACCAGGAGACATTGAACATTAATGAAGGGGAAGGAAGGAAAGATCTAAGTTCAAGGTGTAAGGAAAGTATAAAAGCCAATGAAAATTATTTAGAGAAAACTGACCTATTAGAAAAAGACATGGAAAGAGTAGATAGGGCAGATGAGTTTAATGACAGAGACCAAGTTCTACATGATGGGATTCAAGTAATAATCAATAATTGTGAAATTATAGAGTGCCCTGGAGCTAAGCCTGTCAATCATATAGATAACTTGAGTCCACCTCTCCAGACCAACTCTGTATCTAATGTCAAAGATGCAAGCCCTGAGGGATGGGATTTGGCTAAAAAAGATATAAGGAAAAATTCAACAGACCCTCCCAACCATGGTGAAATATATCATCAAGCACAGGGCAGTGCAAATGCTGAAGAAATTCAGTGTGAGACTGTGTTAACTGCTCTTGGAGGTGACAGAGATAAAAAAGTTTTATCAACAAAACTTGAAGTAGAAACTCAGTCTAGCACTGACCTTAATTATTCTCTGGTAACTGATGAAAGCAAAAGAGATTTGTGTTTATGTAGGGCAGAAGATTCATTAATAGAGGGGTCTGAAAGTACAGTACATACTGGAAACCCTAGCCATACCACTAACTTGCCAAAAATTGCAAAGATAGACTCTTGGAGAACAGATCCAGGTCAAATCTGGCAGCCAAACTTGAATTCAGCAGGGGATAATTTGGATACAGCCAAATCCTCTGGTATACCAGATGACCAAGCAAGTGGATCTGCCAATTGGCTGGATTCTATTAACCACTGGCCTATCAAAGATATGGGAAGTTTAGATAGTAGCTTAGGTAACAGCTGGGAACATTTAGATGTAGTTGAACACAAGAAAGGACCAGAGGTGGACTTACTAGCAGGCACATATGGGGAACAAGCCATTGCTAGCTACTGGGAACAAAGCCAGGCTATAGCTAGACCGTTGGTTCTGGGAACCTCCCAGAATGCTAGCGCTGAGAGTTCTGCTAGCTCCCGAGACAATGACATCAGCAACTCAGATTTATCTGAAGATGAAATTGCTAACCAGAGATATGGATTGTTGTACCAAGAAATAGAGGCTGACAAAGACGAGGTACTTACCCCAGTCTGTAGCATAGACTAGACAAAGACTTCTGTAGGCTTTGTTTTTCCTAATGTCTCTCACCTACTTCATCATCCACCTCTGTCTTCTCAGATGTCTGACTGACGTCCTTGACCAATTGTCATGTACTTCTTGAAATCTGTGCAAACCAAACACAAATAGGTTGACAAAAAACAACAGCAACAACAAAACACACACACACACACACACACACACACACACACACACACACACACAAAATGCAGAATGATTGTGTTGAGAATTAATGAGTCTATTTTACCATCCTGTTTTCTGAGTTTATTCTTTCTACTTTCATTTTTATTGTTCAGGCACTAAAACTGTGCTAAACTAAGAGCAGCACGGACTAATTTACTGTTTCCAAAGTGGTTCCACTCTAAGAACACATGAAATGTTTCTACCCAGGCCCACTGAAACTATAGAATCTCTTAAATGCTGCTCATCAAAATGATATATTATAGAAACACTGGAAAAGCTTCTTCCTGATTCTATCAACAGCCTGAAAAAATAGCTATTTAATCTCTAATGGCCCTTTTCTGGAATCAGCTTCTCATTATTGAGAAAGTACGTTTTGGTTAGCTTTAACCAAGCACCAGCAATAATTGTAAAATTCGTTCTCTCTTTTTTTGTCAGCCTATTTGAAATAATAGTGTGGCCTTTTGCATTTCCTGAGCACTTTCACACACAGTATCCTTTTGTATTATTTTAAAATTTGTGGTAGTCTTTACTTTCCAACTTGTCTAAGGGATATTAATTTACTGATCCTGCAAAAGTGATGTTGAAAAAAATAATACACTCTGATTTCCATTTCTGTTTAGGCTTCTGGTGGTTCATTTAATGGATTCACTCAGGTAAGGAAATCTATTTTCCAGCAAGACCTATCTGCTGAGAATGATGCACATTTTTCCAATTAGATCTATATGCCACTGGTATAGCATAATGATTAAGAGTGTCAGCACAAAATTTAATCTCACTACTTACAAGTTAAGTAATGGAGACAGAATGCAGCAACACTATAGGATCAGTGTGCAGATTAAATTAGATATGTATACTGAGCACTTAGCCCTGCAGCCTAGCACATACTAAGTGCTCTGTGACTTTGGTTTAGCTTTTATTAATATTATTGACTATTCCACGGGATTCTACCTTCTACTGATTTTTCTACTAGGAATTAGAAGTTGTTCTGATCTGCTCTAGATTCAGCTGTTGGAAAAGTAGAAATAGAGTTGTTTTGAACTAATGAGAAGGATCTTTAGAAAATATGAGAAGCCTTTAGGAGGCTTCTTCTAAAGATTCATATAAGAGCCACACTACACAGAGCCTGGCCTCTGCAGTAGTTCTCCAGGAAGGAGCTATTAGAAGAGCAGAAACCATATGTTGGCTCCGTTCAGTATGGCAGTATTTCCCTTGGGAGTCTATGAAAGTGGAACCACAAGACAGACTGTCCTGTTCACTGTGTATGTCCCTACAGATATGTATACGTCTAGTATAACTCATGTAAGAGGCAGGCCACGTGGCTCTCAAGCTCCTAGAGAAACTTCAAGAAAGACCTCAAAAAGAGACTTGTCTATGATAACTTCTTTGCTCAGAATGTCAGACTTGAGTTTCTAATAATTTTAGCATTTAGAATTCTCTAAATAAATAGATATTTACAAACTATTCATAAATAGAGTTCTCTATTTAGAAGTTTCATTATTTTTCGCATGTTGCTGATGAAAAGATAAATCCCATTCACACACCCACTGTCAAACATAGACTTACATGAACATAAAGAGATATGATAATGCATCTCTTCCACCTTCAGAAAATTCTTTTGAAAGGTTATCATAGGCATTGTTATTCATTCATGTCTCACTTTTTTCAAGTTTGTATTTCTATCAGAGTTATTAGTGCACATATCTTAAATAGGAACCAAATTTTATCAGGGTTTTTATTTTAAAACTTTAGACTATCATGTATCCCCTCCATTTCCTGTCTCTTAGAAGTAAATATTTTCACCTCCTTTAATAGAGTGGTCTAACCTCATATATGTGCATGGGTTTCTTATAGTGCTACTTCTTGATTTCTAGTGCATTTTCTATTGATTCAGCTCTCTGGAAAGTGAGGTCTTATTTTCTACCTCCCACTCTCCCAGTTCACCCCCTCTTCTACTTCTTGTCCCTCCTCTGATAGAGTTTCATCCGAGCCCATCAACCAATCTGCAATATAATGGTAATGAAAACGCTATTAGCATGCAAGTGATAGGGTTTACATTTGATTTTATTTCATTTCATGCCAATTTTTTTTGCTTTCCATTGAGGTAATAATTGTGGTCTTGTTTGTTTGCCTATTGGTTGGTTTGCTTAGCTTTCTAGGTACTTATCACTACTAGTTCAAGCCTATAATTGGATATTCAATTAGTTTCATCTTCTTGAAGAAATTTTCTGTCATTTGGTCTGAGCTGGGTACTCTGTGACTACACCTCACCGCAGCGCTGGTCTCACAGGCGCTTCTTGGGGAATGCCTCTGTCCTGACGATCCAACTGTTTTCTGGATGCAGATCTTTCTCATTTGTTATTTAATCCTTCATGTGGGTAAATATTCTGTATCTCCTGAGAAAAGTATGCATGGAGATATACATTTGTGACCGTAACATATCTGAAAATATCTTTATGTCTGCATACATAATAGACTGTTAGTTTGGATATTGGAAATTGCAAATTGCTTTCCCTTATAATTTTAAAGTCATTGTCCCACTCAATTCTACCTCTTAGTGTTGTCTTTGAGAACCTGGCATTTTGAATCTTGCTATTTTATAAGAAATCTTCCTTCCCCTCCTTCTTTCTCCCTTCTCCCACCCCTCACTTTCCTTTTTCTTTGTAGAACCTTCTTTCTTACGTCAGTGTTTCTGAAATTTTAGAATGATGAACTATGATCTGAATGTGTTTTTACCCATTTAGTAGGCCTTTTTAATCTAAAAAGTTATGTCTTTTGGTTTTGGAAGTTTTTTTTTTAACTAATTGTTTTCCTCTTGTTTTCTTTGTTCTCTTATTCCATAACAATTCTCTTTTTCATATGTTAGCTTCCTGAGCTAGTATTCCAATTTTTTTCCTTTTCTTTGTTATCTTTCTCTACTTTCTCTGCTAACTCCTCTAACAGATTTTTTCAGTCTCAAAATATTTTCAATTTCCAAGAACTTTTTTTTTCTTAACCACTGGACTACCAGGGACCAAGACCTCTTTTTGTTTACTGTGTTTTAATTTTTAATAGCATTCTCTTCTTGTGTCAAGAATACAGCCTTTTACATTATATCTCTGAGGATATTAATAATCATTTTTGAAGAGACTTTTTTCATTGCAAAATCTTGGTTTCTCTGCCACTTGCTTTTTTTTCTTCTTTTTCTTTCTATTCAATTTTTTTCCCTTTCATACTTGAAACTTTTCTCAAATGTGTGGTGATCTTGGCTGAAATCTCATATCAAAAGGTGGCATACTCCAAAGCTGACTATTACAAAACTTGTACAGGTAGGTAGAGTTCATTAATTATGGGCACATAGCGCAATAACTCCAAATCAGAGAAGGTTTGTGCATAATGTTCTTTATGTATTCCAAATAAGTCATACGGAGGTCCAGCAGTGAAAGATTTTGGTTTATTAGAACTTACAGGAAGTACTGATGGCAACCAGATGGTGAAGAATCCATGCCTTGGGACAGTATAGCAAGCAGCTTTATAATCAAGCAAGTTAATTATTCAGATTGCTAAACAGTATTTACAATTACATTGGTTAACACATTGTTCTCAGCATTGCTCAATCACCTGCATCCCATAACACATACTGGGAACATGCATATCCTTTAGCTTGATCACTTGCACCCATGACTCATTACTGGGCATATGCATATTCTGCAGAGACCAGCCTTGGCCAGAGGCTACTCTCTGAGCGAGGGGACAGAAAAAAGCTAGATATAGGAGGAAAAGTCTATGTCTACACAATTACCTTAAGTACCTTAATTACCTCTACATTGTCCTTTTTTCACCCTTACAATCCTCACATAACATTGATCTTCTGCAAGTTCCCTGAGGTGGAAACACAAGTCAAACATGGCATCCATATCCCACGTATGCAATAAAGGGCACAGGATCCAAACAGCAAAATTGCTGCAGTGAGTATAACACCTATGCTTATCTTTTGCCCAAAAGAGAAAGTCTAGTGACCCAAACTACTTGGAAAAGGAAAATTAGGCTAAGGGTGATAAGATAGATGTTTGAGAGAAGATAGCAAAAGTAAATTCCAATTATCAGATAAAATACAAGCAACATTCCTGTCCTGTAACATCACTGCGACACTGTGGGGAGACCTCCCCAGCCTGAAATAGCATGCCCTATCAGGCCTGGGAGCCCTCCTGCTCATGATATAAAAGGACGGTGTAGGTGTCCTGAATTGTCATATAGAAATGAGTATTTGAGACTCAGGGTTATTACACTTAACAATATTTGTCCCTTTTTCCATAACCGTAGGATGAATATCTAAATTATGATCTATCCGCTCTCCCCAGAGATCAAGTAGAGAGCACCAGTGGTTCAGATGGGACTTCCCAGGGCCAGGGGAGAGTATTCTCTCTGGATACAATTTCTTGTGGGGCAGGCAGCAATACGTTATTCGTGCTTCCCCAGCTTGGTCAGAGTGATTATTCTTGTGTCTGAATTTGCATTCTCTCAGGCATTGCCCACAGTTGTGTCAGCATTTCTAGAGGTGCTGGATGGGGTCTTTTGTTGAGAGTATGGATTGCTTCGTGCAATCAGGTCATCCACCCCTGCAGTGAGTGCTGATCTGCCTTTAAAGCATTCTTTAGTATGTTGTCCTTCCACATGTCTTGGCTCCACAGGGGCTTGTTCATGATTGTCCATTGATGCTGGTGCCATTGTGGCATCCACAGCATCAGTTCTTTGAACACCACCCAGTTGTCTGTACAAATTGTCAGTGGGCCTGGCTCTTTGGGTATCACCAACCGCACTTCCTGCAACTCTGCCCACTGACTACTTTGCCCAATCCCATCTTCCATCCAGATAGTCTCTGTTTTTGAATGGTGTACAATGGTTCACCATCAAGAGGGTTGCCCCCAACACAAATCGCCCATGTAGTAAGATCTGGGACTGGTGGTATTCCCTCCCTAATGAGCAATGGGGTAGTAACTGTTTTCTCTGTCACTTGTTTACCTGCATTGATGAGTGGTTATTGGCTACACTGCTGAAGATATGCTCACCATTTGGTCAGGGTCGTCGTCTGCAGGGCTGAACTGCAGGGTCTGAGAGAGATGCCTTGAATCCATCCCACTATTGGCAGAGAGATGCACACAGTTACCAGGGCTTGTCTGGTGATTCGCTCTGTTGCCAAGAGATCTTGGTATACTGTGTTGACATGCTGTTTAGTGGGGCCATGGCAGGTATTGGTGCCTTTCCAAGTCTGCAACTAAAAGCCAGTGGGATTTCAAGCTTTCCCCTGCTGTTGCCAAAGCCTCCAAGTGTATTCCTCCTGGGTAACGTTTACCTCCAATTCACAGGGAATTAGAACGCCCGATGCCTAGACAGCACCCCCAGTGTTTTTGACAGCACTGAATGTCTGTTGACATTCCTCGGTTCAGTCCCATTGGGATCTTTTTTTTGTTTAATCTATATTAGAGGGGATCCCCCCCCCAAAAAAAACAGAATTATCTTTTGGAGGTTGGGCCTCTTGTAGTACACTCAGAATTTATTCCTCTGTATGAAATGGTCAACTAAAGTTTTTATCTGCAAGTTTTGAGAAGGTTGTGTCATGATTGAGTTGTGGCAAACAAGTGACTAGTTCTTCCACCATGACAAAACACCTGCCCATGCCACACTGCATATTCAGCAGCTTTTGGCCAAAATATCATGACCCCTGTGACCCACCCTCCTTATTCACCTGATCTAGCCTCCGCATGTCCATTATTGCTTGCATGGCCCTCTGTACCATCCCACCTACTAGCAGGCATAGAACAGATATCAAAGTCCCATAAAAGGAGTTTGGGGGTTGACAGAGCACCTTATCTTTCATCCCAGTTGTACAGGGTACTGCATCTGGCCCTTCAAAGGGCTCTATGTGTATGGTATATGGCATGACACACCCCCAGTTCCCGGAGGTAATTCTGTAGTTCTTCCATGATGTTCCACCAGGGAAGAGAGGGTGGGATGTCCCCCTCATTTGGCCAAGTGTCCCTACACTCTGCCATGAGCTATGTTAGGAGGAAGGCATTCTCATCAGACTGCCCCACTCCATGTTTATGCTGTCTAAGGGAAGGATGGTTGGTGGCCAAAGCCATTTTCATCAACTCGTTTTCTGATAGTACTGTGCCACCAGCTCTAGTACCCCTAGTACTGTGCCACTGGCTCTAGCACCTCATACCTTAGCAGCCAGCCTGCTAGGCTTTCCCTCCCCTTTTGCCTGAATTTTGCTGCCAGCTCAGTTATGTGGGAGTATAAATGCCCGTGGTCATGCTCGTGTGCATACTGCAGGGGAGGGTGGCAGGTGAGCTGGATTTTGCCCTCCAGCCATTCTCAATGGGAATCATCACCGGGCAAGCCTTCATCTCTGGAGACTCTTCTACCACCTCTCTCACCTCTATTTCATTTTCCTCTTCTGAGGAGTCTGATTCCTCTGTGAGGTTTTCCTTTCGTGGGTCCCACTCACTGTGGGCTATCACAATGCAGATACATGCCATAGATACGTGCCATTTTCCTTTCATGTTCGCAAAATGGTACGCTAAGTCACACAGAGGGTCACTAGTCTGCTCCAACCAGCAATCGAATATATCTCTGCTTTCTGCCAGAGTTCACTGAGCATCTCTTTCCAATCTTTATTCCTCCTACATTTTATGCACCTGGCTCCTAGTAGCTATCTCCTGTTCAGCAGCCACTCAGAGAGTGCAAAGCAGGGGCTATCCACAGCCACTACAACTGCACAGCTATCTTTTTTCTTCTGAAATCATCCCTTTTCAACTGCTTTCAATAATTCCAGCAGTCCAGCCGGGGTTTTTGGCGCATCCCTGTACTCATATGGTGGCCCCCAGTTATCTATCAAGGCGGCAATTTCAAACCACATTGGATCAGTGATCCACCCTGGTACTTCCCCCAGTGACATCCTTCTCCCCTCTGTCTCTCCCACGGCCACCTCAGTGGGGGGAGGAGGCACTTCTCTGGAATATCCTGTTGACAATGCCAGATGTAATGTGGTCACCCCAAATCTGAGAGGGCTTGCACATAATATTCTTGTTCTATTCCAAAGAAGTCATCCAGAGGTCCAGCAGGGAAAGACATTGGTTTATTAGAACTTATAGGAGGCATTGATGGCAGCTTGTCAGTGAGGGATTCATGCCTTGGGACAGTACAGCAAGCAGCTTTATAGCGGAGCAAGTTAATTATTCAAATTACTATACAGTGTTTACAATTACACTGATTAAGGGTGATGCCTACATTGTTCTCAGCTTTGCTCAATCACCTGCATCTCATAACTCATTACTGGAAATATGGATTTCCTCCAGAGACCAGCCTTGGTCAGAGGCTACTCCCTGAGGGAGGGGTACAGAAAGAAGCCAGATATAGGGGGAAAGGAATCTATGTCCAGGCAATTACCTCACAGGGCATTATTGTGGGTTTTCCGGTCATCTTTTTTGTTGGGGAGCCCCTGATATCAGATTCTTTAGGCTTTTGTCCCCCCTCAGGCTAGTCAGATTTCCCAGGGAAGATTCCTCTGGTCTTCTGTGTGGGAGGTACAAGCCTGACTATCAGTGTAGTGGAGGTGAATGGGGAAGAAGTGGGGAGAGAGAGACATACATTCTCAGTATTTCTTTTTCTTTTTCTTTTTTTAGTATTTCTTATGTAAATGTTCATTTAATCATCCTACTTTCCTAGTGTGCCCATGTGTCTCCCAGTCCAGAGACCCTCTGTTTCAGCCTCTGTAAAATTAATCTCAAGTCTTTATCTAGGATAGGCAGGGATGTTGCTTAGTTGAAAATCTCGAGGTCTAATTACTTTGTAACAGACTTTCACTCAGTTTCCCTGTTGTTAGCACCTCCCTGACTCCTATTTCCTGTGATTCTTCATGTTTTTAATTCTTGACCCACCAGGAGTTCCAAGAAACAAATTGGTTGATTCTTGGCATTTCTAACATCTCCTTAGGATACGGAGTTTTTAGATCTACCAACTTAGTATTCATTCATCTGCTTTCCAGTTTCAACATTTTATTGCTGTTGTTTTTCTGCCCTTTTTTTTTTCATTCTTATCGGTTTATGCCCTTTTAAAAAAATTCCTTTATTATTGCTTAGTTTGGATTTTGGAGGTAACAGAGGCAGTTGCATATTTTCAGTTCACCATTTTTAACCACAAGTCACTGGTTCATCTTTTCTGTCAGGGAGTCCCTGGTGTAATTTATTTTAGGTTGTTGGGGTTTTTGTTTTGTTTTTTTGAGCTGGTCAGATTTCCCAGGAGAGACATTTAGGTCTGCCATCTGGAGGATAAAAACTTGGCTACCAGCCGGGCTCGGTGGCTCAGCCTGTAATCCCGCACCTTTGGGAGGCTGAGGTGAGTGGATTGCCTGAGCCCGCGGGTTCGAGACCCGCCTGGGCAGCGAGACCTCATCTCTACAATAAAGCAAAAAATCAGCCGGGCATGGTAGCGCATGCCTGTAATTCCGGCTACGCGGAAGGCTGAGGCGGAAGGATCGCCGGAGCCCAGCAGGTCAAGGCTGCGGTGGCCGGGAGCGGCCACTGCACTCCAGTCTGGGCGACAGAGTGAGACTCCAACTTAAAAAAAAAAAAAAAAAAGTTGGCTACCAGTGTAATGAACGATGAATGTTCCCTTAGAGACCACTGTTCCTTTAGATTTCTTCCAGCTTGGTCTTTTTTAGGTCAAAGAACATATTTTATAAAATTATGAATTTGTGTTTGATAAATAACTCATAGAGGTAACACTTAGGTGATATTGTAAGATTGAATCCACAACATTTAAAAGGTTTAAATTTGGAGCTTCAACCACTGACTTCTAATTTGGTGTCAACATCCAGAAGAGAAGCCGTGGACCAAAGATGTCCTTGAACCCAGGGCCCTTTGTTTAATGACTCTTATTGTATTTTGCTAGCAAAGTTTATATTTAGAATAACTACTGTTAAAACATACTTTTGCAGTTTTGTTTTAATGATTTAAAATAAGACTTTTAAACATTTCATATGTATTTGTTGACATGATCAATGGTAACTAACTGAAATATCTTTTGAAAAAAAATTTATATTTTCTCCCTGATTCTCAGGCCCAGGACACTTCATTATTCACAATGCAGACAGACCAGAGTATGATCGGCAACTTGGTAAGTCGATTTGGGTTTGTGTTTTGGGGAAATTGTTAGTTATCACTAAATATTCTAAAGTAAGCTGATAATTCTAGGGTCTCTAGACTTTGAATATTCAGAATGTGATCTCTGCAGTTCCCACTTGTCTAGAAAAAAGGAGGGAAAGCATTCTGTAAATCTCAGTGTTACTTCGAACTGGGTTACTTCTATTCATAAAGGCACAGTGATCCCAGCAAAAGTCTCCTAATTATGGGCCCCAGTGGAGTACATTGAATCCAACAAGGACATAAATATTTCCATGTGACTATCACTTAAGTTTCAGGATTTAAAGTAAATTGCCTCAAGAGTTCATGCTTCAAAATAGATACTTGCTTGTTTCTTGAGCCTGAAACTGCCTCATTTCTCATTGTATTCCTTCATTTTGTGAATTGTAGAAAGAAGTAATGTATAGTAGCCATAGTAGAGTTGTGATTTCATACTTGATGCCAAATAAAAGGAGAGAAAAGCTTAGTTAGGGGATGAGTAGGAAGCAGAATTGGTGTTAGAAGAGATTCTTAAAAGATCACTGTTGCAGCTATCCTCAGAAACCTTTTTTAGCAGCAGCTTACTAGTAAAGATGAAGAATGACATTAAGAGATGTCACTTGTGAGCTTGTCACTGCTACACTTCAGAGGATTTGGGCTCTGTGAGGATTTGTTCATAAGGGTTATTTGTGGCGCTATGGTTTTCCCATGGAGATGGTGTGTAATCACTCCAGCTCTTGCCTTTTACATTGGAAGCTTGGAATTGGGATTAAGTAGGATGAATTTTTATTTTTAGACTATTTCATTTTTAAGTAAGGAATTCTGTTCTGGAAAGTTTGTTTTACAGGTTAATTTGTTTTGTTTTGTTTTTCAAAGGCAAGTATGTCTCTAATAGCTTGTCAGTAGATGTAGGCAATCAGGTGAAAAGCAGAGTCTCCATGGCCTGCAAATAACTTTTTAAATATTTCAAATACAAACTATATTAATGTCAATAACGGGGCCAGAGAGATTCGTTCTTCACATTCATTGGTGATTATCAGCCTGGCTGATAGAGATGGAGAATGAGATTTTTCATTATCAATTGTGACTGATTAAGAAAAATTGAGAAATACTTTTATAAAGGAAAGGTGATTGGTTACAATTAATTCACACATATTACTTTTGATGCAAGAGATTCAGTCCTATAATTCATTGGTTCTTACATTCTTCTGAACATCTCCCTACCATCTACAGTGTGTCCTGGGAGCTTCCATGCCTGCACTCCTCTTCTTTTGATATGTATCCTCTGAAGCAGACATCTTCCTTCCTCTTGGGGAACTTAGCTTTGTCATGTCCAGCACTGCAAACGCTGCTAACATTAGTCTTGGCCTATGAGGAACTAAGAAATCACAGTGAACTTATGTCTCTTAGTAAGTGTTGATTATACACGATCTTCCCAGGAGCAGGAAATTTCTAGCATTTGGCTTACTGAGGGTTCTGAACGATGTGGTGGTTGAACTTGGTAATCAACTGTACATTTCCCAACATGCAGCATGCAACCCCACGAGACATCCCTTGAGTTCAAGTTTAAATCCTTTTGATTCAGCAAACCTTGCTCAAAGCTCAGAGTTGCCTCTAAAACCCTTTGCAGTTCTTACTAAATTAGCTTTTTCAGGATTAGAAAAGCAGGACTATGAGACAAACACCATATTGGATGTGACTAGACTCCTAACCCAAATTTCTCAGCCCATCTTTTCTTCCTCTGTCTTGATCTGCCCATCATTTTATCTCAGAGGATACCAGAAAATGCGCTCAAAAGCCGCACTACTCATTTTTTTCTAAAGAAAAAGTTCTGTTTCTGATTTTCAGAGTTAAAACGTTGTGGCAACTGCTGCCACAAGGAGGGACCCCCAAAAACCTGGAATTATCTTTTGAAGAACAGGTTCCTTGTAGTACAGGCTTCCCCCACTAGATAAGTGTCCTGGAACCCTTCAGCATTAGTGTACCAGCTAGCATTGTTGTGAGAGACTGCGTTTGACTTCCATGAATTTATTTTTGGAGATTCTTTCGACACATTTGCCCATTTCATGACAGGTGATTCACGAGTACACCTGCCCACATCACACCAAGTGTTCAGCAGCTTTTGACCAAAAACAGCATGACTCCTGCAACCCACCCTCCCTATTTACCCGATCTCACCCTGAGTGACTATTATTTGTTTCCCAGGATGAGAAAAGTCCTCACAGGGAAACTTTTTGTTGATGTGGAAGAGAGGAAACAAAAAATGATAGACGCACTAAAAGACATCAAAATTGATGAGTTAGAAAACTGTTTTGAGCAGGGGAAAAATTAGTCTCAATAGGTGTATTTCATCAGATGGAGAATACTTTGAAGGTGACTGAAGATTAAACATGTAGGAGTAAATATACAATATTTTTATAAATAAATTCCAGGGTTTTTTGGGTCCTCCTCATAGATAAAGGGTACACCTCTTCCCTGAATCTATAATGATTGCTACTAGACCAAACAATAGGAAATCATTGCCAGCACTCCAAAATAGGTACAGCATGGTATCAACCCATTAGCAATGTTTGTCAAGTGAAACGTTTTGTAGAAAAAATTGTTTCAAGTGGAGTACAATTCCTCCAGGATTATTTTAGATGTTGCTAACAATTTATCTTTGTTTTTGTTTCTATCTTGACAAAATATTCACAATTTTGCACTATTTCAGAAAGAGTAGAATAATAACTTCCATTTTTAAATTTGAGTAGCTGATTTTACGTACAATCATGCTTCATCCTTACTCACGATTGAGTGAATTATACTTATCTCCCAGGAATTTAAGATAAGTTGTGATACCATGTGGTAATATTTGGTGTGATATTGTAATATAGTTTAACGTGTTGTGACTTGTAGGGACATAATCGTATATCTTTTTCAGGCTATACCACTGTTGCATTGTCCAGTTTCAGCAAGTGAATACATTTAGGCTCATTTATGAAATCACTCTATCTAGTCATTCTTGCCTTATGTAAAATTTCAGCATTTCTTCAGACTTCTAAGAAACCCAGACTGTGACGCACTCATTTTTTTCCATTTTATGTTATCGCTGCATTTTAAAAAATGTACAGTGATTATATTTATTGGACTCATGCTTTGAAACTTCACTGGACTCCTCATCTGACTTAAGACTTCCTCTGTAATATAGACTCAGCTTGCAGGGGAACAGCATCTGCTCGTGGACTTCTTGATGCTTTGTCAAATTGCCCTTTGTGTCCTTCATCAAGTAGGTCATCTGATACTATGCTTTCATAGCAAATCACCTTGACTTTCCACCTGGTAAGATCATGCCCCAGGCACTTACACTCTGTTTGCTGCTATGAAAACTTGTTCCATTATGAAGATAATTTATTTTGAACAATAAAAGTGAAGTCTTTTCCCAGAAAGGACTTCTGAGAGCATATTAGAGTGAATTTTATCTCTTTCTTCTTTTTAAAAATTGTGTCAGACCATCTCTTGAAGGTTATAAAAGCCCATAAAAATATCAGATCTCTGCACACTTGTCTACCAGAGTGTCCTTTGATTTCTTTATGCCCTTTGCAAAGAATGGTGATGTGATCTTGGCATGCATCATAATAAATGATTTGGTGAAAGATATAAGATGAATATTTTGTATTTTTATCCAACACTAGGCTATTCTATATAATCTATTCTGTCTATTCTATATAATCCATTCTGTATAATCTAAACATAACTTTTCCATTACTACTCTGTGAAACTTGTCATATGCACTGACTTAAATGAACACACAGAAGAAGCGAGAACTGGTAGAAGTTACTGATTTCTCTAACCAAAGCATTCATTGGAAGCTTCTTCCTCCACTGGAAAAACACTTTTAAACTTTTTTACAGTGTAAGTGTGCTGATGAAAGAGGATCGTAATATGCCCTCTAATGGCCATTCATTTAGCCAAATAATCATGCTAGGTAAATATGCTTGTTTATATTAATAAGAATGGGAAAAGTGGAAATATTTTCAGTAAGTGCAACAACATGCACTGGCTGTGGTATTTTTATATTGCTAATTTTAAATCTAAAAAGATCTTGGGCTAAGAGAAGCCAGAAGCCTGATTCAGCATATGTGTCATTGGCATCAGGATGTACAGAGATCATGGTGGGACAAAATGACCTCATCCTGCTCACACAATTAGAAGAGTCTAATTAACACCATGGAAATGCTGCCCTGTGAGTCTTTAAGCAATTGCTTTATTGTATGAAATAAATTGATTGTTAAGGATTTTGTTGGAGATAGAAAGGAAAAAGGAGACTGAACAGGAACTTATGACTAGACGGCAAAGGATCTATGATTGTGGTAGCTATTAGTTAGGTAGCTGGGTCTTTTCCTCCCAGCCATGGAGGTGGAACGCTAGCTTCATAGCGACCTTTTGGGTCAAATGAGTTTGCTTAAATCTTCTGAGTATTGAGATGACTCCTCAGTTTTTTGGTGCAATGCATATCCACAGAACTGAAAGGCTCTGTGTCCTGTGATTTCTTCCTGACTCCTTCCACCTGGCAAATGTGGGACCTCTTAGGATATCCTCTCTCTCTACTAAATAGCAAAAAGTACCATTTTACAGTCTCTTAAAGATGTCACAGGGAAGCGAATAGTCACAATGTTGTGAGAAAGGAAAATGAGTAGCCAAAGTGGCGAGTCTTTGTCTGACTTCAAGAGAAATGACACCTCTTGGTGATGGTAAAAGAGAAGCTTAATAAAATTCTGTTCCTAGACTTTTCAATTCTGTAAAGGCTCATGATGCCAAATGGAAGACTTTTTCCAGCACAGAGTTCATGAAGATTGTTGTCTGTGGGATCACAAACAAAATCTTAATTGTCTGGTATTCTGTAATGTTATCTATTCATATGTTGAATCTCTTTCCTCTAACCCTCAAAACAAACATTCTAAGGCTGAATCTGAACAGGCCCCACCCACAGAGCAGAAAGCAGAGGAGCCCCTTGCCGCTGCCACACCCGCTGTTGGACTGGACCTTGGACTGGACAATCGGGCTGAGGAGCCAGTGGAGGAGGCAGTGGTGAGCACCACCTCCCTTTCACCCTCCATCTGCCTCACCACCACTGCCATGCTCATCTCATAACCTCACGTTATCACTGTCAACTACACCTTCTTTGGGCCAAACGTGCTCCATCTCTGTCATGGCTCCCACGTTCAAATAGCCTTCGTTCCCATTCCTCTTCATTTTTTAATATGGAAGATATTCAGAGAACTGATCTTAGGATCTAGAGAAAGTTGCCACATAGCCACAGGTGTGGCTCTAAAAAGGGTGCCTTTATTTTTTTCAGACTTTTCTGTTCACAAGATATAGGTTATAGAACTTGCATGTTATCAGACCTGTTAATGCTTTACTCTACCTGTGACAGCTGGAGACATGCCTTTTATCAGGGACTAACTTCCATGTGGTAAACAGGAGAATAATAACTTTGTTAGTTGTGTCTATATATTGATTATATACAATATTAGCTTTGTAAGTTGGTTAAGGCCCAATGAGGGATTGAAATCTCATATCATAAATCCATGAATCTATAAGTATTCCTATGTGCACAAGCATTTGCTCAGAATCAAATCTGCTGCTGGCTCTTATAAGAAGAAGGATCTTGAGGATGTATATCATGCTAGGATGGAGATTCATCTGTCTGCCTGGGAACCTGCTCTTACCCTGATCCCTGAAGCCATAAAGAATACCATATCACAAACTGAGATGAGGTCTAAAATGCGCCAAGTAGAATTGGATAATGTAACACCCATGAAAGTGTAGAGAGTTCAAAGTACCCATGGAGAGTGAAAAATAGCTCATTTGTGAAATGCAGTAAAATGTCTCCCAAGATATTCAATCAGAGTACCATTTATGACAGCTTTCATAGAATCTGTACAAATAAAAAAACCAATTTCCCTATTATCAAAAATAACATTGCCTAGATTAGGTACCTAGAGGAATGAAAGTTATATTTTATGCTGTTGGTGCCTTAGGTCATTTTACAGGAAGAAGGGTAAGTCATCTGTCAAATCAATAGTTTATTAACAGAGTAGAAAAATAAATAATAGGGCAAGATAGTGATGGAAAATACATAAATTAAGAATGACTCAAGAAAAATTATCATATTTTCCACTTAAAGATATAGAGTTGGGCCAAATCCTGTAGGGAAAACAAGAATATATTCAGCTAGATTGAATTTCTCCTAGAAGCATTGCTTGCATGGACATTAGACCATGGAGTGCTATGTCCGGTGTCACTCCCAGATTTGGTGGTAACTGGGTGTGGTTCATTTTCATCTGGTGTCTAATGGTGATCTGTCTACTCATTTTAACTTTATTATTTAAATAACAAAGGTAGGGAAAAATAGAGTTAACATTTTTACTACTATTATAATTAATAAGATAATTTATTTAAACAGATGGATGATTCCAGAGAGTGAGTTAGAAAGATATTGATTCAGGTTTTGAAGAAAACTGCTTCCATTCTGAAAAGTTCTCATCAAATTTATATTTTGAACAATTGGCATGGACTTCATTTTCACCAGTATTTTTAAACTAGTCTATTGATTCCATGCCCGAGACTATTCAGTGTAAGGTTAATGCCATCATGCCCATGGCTTTGAACAGGGGTAGCAGTGTTGTGCAATATATTGCAGATATGGAATAGACAAACAAATGTGTTCAATACAGGCTGAATGTTGATTCTCTATGATTTCTGAGTGACTTGGTCACATACCTCTCACACCAGTCCTCATTTTAACAAATTTATAATTTTTTTTTCACAGAATCCAAGTTCATGGTTTTTCAACGAACAATAGTAGTAGCTACTAATTATTGAATACCTACTATGTAGTATCTAATATATATGTGTGTGTGTATGTGTGTGTGTATATATAATTGCAAATGTATGATTTATAACCTTTTGAACTAAGAGCAATGTGAAAATATTCAACAAACTATGGCACAGGCATCATCCATCACTAAAAACAGCTTCCCAAATGTTGGGTAAGGAGATAGTTTGAAGAATTCCTCATTCTGAAAAATACTTTTTTTCTGAATCTTATATGTGAACTTTAGAAAATAAAAACTTTTGATTCATTGTGAAATATAAGACAGTTTAGAGACTCTTATGAAGGATTCAGACACTTCCTGAGACCCATAGTTGATGTAAAAACAATAGGTACAAAGCCCACAGTGTGATCCATGCTCTCAAAGAGAAAAAATGCAAATTCATTTCTCCATATTTATAAGAAATAATAGTATTAGTGTTAACTAAGAGGAGGCAGTTTATACCAGTTCAGTTTGCTTAATGCTCATCATTAGTGGCTTACCTGCCATGTTTTAAACATGGACATACTTGGGTGAAATAAATACTTCCCCTTGTTCTCCCTTCTACTTAGGATAAATTCACATAAAATTAATTTTTTGTTTCCTAAAGTAGATTTGTAGCTTTCTTCTTCTGGTCATAATAATCTGACATGATATTAGGGTTATATTTTTCTGAAGAAAGGTCTCTTCTGTTGCTAAGTATGTGATATTTAGTTATAAAAACAAAAACCCACATTGTGTCCCTAACATTAATTAATCTGCTGGCTATGGTTGTCATCAGTCAGGACTGGGCTGACATGACCTTTTGAGGTAATCCTTTTCACTGCCGAAATGTCACCACACAGTTATTAGTTCAGGTTTTGATAGAATACATTTCATCTGAGATGAGATTTTTGATGGTTATGTTAAAAAAAAAGAGGCAAATATAATTTCAAAAGCAGGAAATTTTAACAGTGGTTCCCAAAGAAACCTGGTGCTTTCAAGAAAAGTTTCGTTATTGCATTTTTGTTTGTTGTTTTATTTCCCAGATAGCTAATTTTGTCTTTGCTTTTTCCTGACATCCAATTTTACCAATATGTTTGCAGGTTGCATTTTAAAAACCAGCACTCTAACTTTGCCTTTTTCAGATATTTCTGTTATGTAAATAATGAAAATATTCTTCAGAGAAAGATGATTTTATTACATATTTCAGTATATTTGTCGGAGAATTAGGTTAAAAAGTAGATAAAAATGAACACAGAGCCAATTCATAATGTATTCTTTGGTTATAGCTAATAATAGGTTATTCTTAGTTGTTTTTCTTTTTCCAGATAATAAAATTTTACCCACATTATTCCATCTTTCAGAGAGGCCCCTTCTAATTTTCTCTAAATTTCTGTCAGTGCCTACATATTGCTCAAATGATATGAAAGAGACCAATGTTCTTTATTGCCTTTTAAAAAAATAATGCACTGCAATTAAATGTGGGGTTGGCATAATTTACAAAACATAGAAATGGAAGAAAGACTGAAGTAAAGATGTTTAAGACTTACTGGAAAATCTTGGAAGATGAAACATCATTGACCCATTATTTTAGGGACTACCTTTGTTTTTTTCTGTGTTTTGTGTTTGAAAAATTTTATCACTTGAGCTTACTTGTCAAGATCAATTTAAACCAACAAATATATACATATCAGAATCGCCAGACTGTAGTCTATCAGCTTCACCTTGCTAGGGACATCTCCATATGCTTGAATAAATGCATGTGCTCGTTTCCCCTTTCGTTCAGTTGACAGATATATTTGAGTCCTCTGTAGGTGTCAGGCTCTGCTTTGGACCAGTGGAACACAGTGATGCAGTAAATAGTTGTGGCTCCTGAATCTTAGTTTCCACAGTCTGGTGGTTGAGGACCACCTTGCACAGGGGCGACTATGTCTTTCTGTGACAATCATGTGCATGGGAAACAACATTTGGGTTTTCTCATGCAGAGCAAGCATGAGAGCTGGAGTTCCCTCTGTGCCTCTGAATGTGATCTCCAGTGTGTCAGAGAAAGACACTGAAAATCAGAAGAAGCCAAGGAGCTTGATTTATCATCTACCCTTCATTAATGTAGAACAATCTCTCAACTCTTGGTACTCATATTAAAGCACGCTTAAACTAAGTTGTCAAGAAACATATGTATGTATATGTATAAATTTTTCTTTAAAAAAAAAAGAGAGAGCCCCCAATCCCCCCAAAACAGAAATGTTATTCTCTAAGTTCGACTGTATCCCTGCTAGCAACTGCTTACATCTTCAAACCCCTCAAGCCAAATCAGTGTCTCTCTTTCCCCTCTTTCCTGGTTCCCACCTCAGAGCAGGGTATATAATATAAGCCCAACAAATTCTGAGTCATTGTTTCATTGATTAATTGACGCTGTAGTCTGGGGGTCCTGAAAGGGCCTACACTTTTGATCTCTTAAAATACGAACATTTATGTAGTCATTTTCTTCTCTTTCTCTTTTTCATTCAGTTACTTTGATTTTATACTTAGCAAAAGCAAGCCACTTATTGTGACTATAGCCATGCCAAGCTTTTTCATGCTGCTCCATGGTAGCTCTGTGACATCTAAACCTCAACTGCATCAAATGTAAAATGGAGTTAATAACAAGGACCTTAAACGTTTCCTATGAAGGCTTAGAAATAATGCATACCCTTGGTTTTAGCATCTGTCACAGAGAGGTACCTCGGTCAATGATAGTTTGATGATACCATCATTGTTATAATCATTATGTGAAATTGATAAGAAGTAGGTGAAATATGTACTCTAGGGAGAAGGTAGTAGATGTGAAAGATAACATCCCCCTTTTCAGTTTTGCCTCATGTCAGAAATGGTAAGGGACTCAAACTCTGTTAGGCCTCCATAGACACAAATTTCCTCTTGGTTCCTAAAAAAGTTATGTCCAATCAAAATTCTTTGTCCTATCTAAAGAGACTTCCTCAGTCCATTAATCGGAAATTTCCCTACCTTCATTTGCTGGGGAAATGAGGGTATTCAGAGAACTAGCACTGCCTGCCCAGCTGTGTCCTCCTTTTAGGTGGTTGTAGAAGTGGAAAAAAAGATAAATGATCTCCACATACATCCACATTTGATATAAGTGGCTGGGCTTAGATCTTTTTTTCTCTCCATCATTGCTCCAAGTCAAAGAGATGATGTCAGCCAAGAGTAAAATGCAAGTGACAAGATGGTGATCAC